TGAACTGCCAGAGTAGCTTGTTTCTTATTCTTTCTGGTCGGCCGTCTAATCTTCAGTATGGAGCGAAGACAGTCGTTGACGAAAGTTTGCAGAAGCCTGTTTGAAATGCTTTCGGTGACGCCAGTGCTGAGTCTCTGCACCATATAGAAGCACTGACTTCACATTGGTGTTGAGAATCCGTGCCTTGTTCCTAGTGCTGAGTGCAGTAGATCTCCACACTGATTTCAGAGTAATGAGTACCTGTCTTGCTTTTCCGATCCTGGCTTTGACATCGTAATTCGTATGGCCTGTATTTGAATTGATGCTGCTGTAAGTGAGTGAAAGAGACAACTTCCTCCAGGTTTCTTCCGTTGATGGTGATTGGTGCTTGTTGTTGTTGTTGTTGTTGTTGGTTAGGTGGTTGGTTGTTTGGGTATCTTCATTACCTGTGCCTTGTCTGTGTTCACTCGGAGTCGTGTGTTCGCTGCCTCGTCTACCAGCTTGTCGTATTTCTGTCGTAAATCTTCGACTTTTTGAGAGACGAGACATGGATCGTCGACGAAGTGTAGATCTTCTAGGGGAACTTTCCAGAGTGTAAGCATGTGATATTGGATGTCACCTTTGTCGCATATTTTCATTGTAAGTATACTGTTGAAGGTGGTTTCAACTTGGAATTCTAAGGAATTGGCTTATTTCGGGAGAAGATATATCCAACCTAGACTAGGTAGATGACAGTCAGTCCTATTGTGTGAAGATGCTGGCAGAATAGGATCCAGGGATTCCTGTGCGACTTGATCGGAAGTGTGAATACGTGTGGCATCCTGTCCGTGACTGATGAATGCACAATACATGTACAGGATTCTACGTCTGTAAAACAAGGCCGCTGAAGTAATAAAATGACCACAGGTTTTACTGATAGGTGCTTCCGTTCGTGTGCTCGGGTCCAGTGAAATAACATAGTAAGGGATGTTGTGATTAGATGTTGAGTGTTCGGTGAGGAAAGTAGGTGAATAGAAGAGTTTGTGAATCTTCGCCTTTTGAAGTGCATAGGACGTTTGTTAATCATGTGGAATGTTGTCTAAAGTAAGTTGTTGAATCATTGTTTGTGATCTTCGAAGCGAAAGGCAGCAGCAATACACCGAGTGCGTAAATGTTAGTTATATTCCTACTGATGTCTTCGGGATTATAAGAACCAAGGGTTGGAGACTCGTAAAATTGCTGGAAATCACCATGGAATTCTGAACAAATTATCTTTCACGGTTGTCTTTCACTGATGTATTATTTTAATAATGACTAGTATTCGTTGCTTCCGTCCCGAATGGGAAGTAGGGCTTCAGTGTCACAGCTTATTATTATTACTAGTAATAGTAGTGTTAGTGTTAGTGTTGGTAGTAGTATTAGTAGTCGTAGTACTAGTAGTATGATTGTTAGGTCACAAACCTGGTACATTATGGTCACCAAGGAGTGCGCCACACAAAATCTGATTGTTTGTGCGAGGGGTGGGGTAGTTCCTCGACTCCCACACCGGTGATCAAAACAGGTTCATACGCCATTCTATCCTTTTGGATTCTGGAGCGCATGTACACCATAGGTTTGTAATGGGAGTTTTCCAGCCGCCCACAGTAGGCCAGAATGTCAAACCAGTCCGGTTGTAAGCACCAGACGTTGGAATTCGCCCTTTCACTTTTGTGAGGAAGACCCCACCGGGTGAATTCAGTGAATAGGACTTACCTGACCTAACTGAGGGAGGCTATGAACGCGTGGTCACATGAGAGGATTTCGAGAGAAAGACCGAAGTCTACCCACCGTCGGCCGTACCAGGTCGTTTATAGGGGCGTGGTGAAACCTCATTGCACTCTGTTTTCTGTCACCACTCTCAACTGGCTCCACAACTGCCCACAAGATTTCCTTCATCTCGTCTTCATATGATCGCCTGTATGTCACCCTGAGACCCACGTGCGAGCCCTCGTGTTCCAATCGACAGTCTGGTGTATAGTGTCACCTTAATTCCTCCTCACCTTATGACCAGTGCATCTCCATTTCCTTCTGAACATTATTTAGGCGATAGGTTGTTGTCTGCTGGTTCGCTGAACTGCCAGAGTAGCTTGTTTCTTATTCTTTCTGGTCGGCCGTCTAATCTTCAGTATGGAGCGAAGACAGTCGTTGACGAAAGTTTGCAGAAGCCTGTTTGAAATGCTTTCGGTGACGCCAGTGCTGAGTCTCTGCACCATATAGAAGCACTGACTTCACATTGGTGTTGAGAATCCGTGCCTTGTTCCTAGTGCTGAGTGCAGTAGATCTCCACACTGATTTCAGAGTAATGAGTACCTGTCTTGCTTTTCCGATCCTGGCTTTGACATCGTAATTCGTATGGCCTGTATTTGAATTGATGCTGCTGTAAGTGAGTGAAAGAGACAACTTCCTCCAGGTTTCTTCCGTTGATGGTGATTGGTGCTTGTTGTTGTTGTTGTTGTTGTTGTTGGTTAGGTGGTTGGTTGTTTGGGTATCTTCATTACCTGTGCCTTGTCTGTGTTCACTCGGAGTCGTGTGTTCGCTGCCTCGTCTACCAGCTTGTCGTATTTCTGTCGTAAATCTTCGACTTTTTGAGAGACGAGACATGGATCGTCGACGAAGTGTAGATCTTCTAGGGGAACTTTCCAGAGTGTAAGCATGTGATATTGGATGTCACCTTTGTCGCATATTTTCATTGTAAGTATACTGTTGAAGGTGGTTTCAACTTGGAATTCTAAGGAATTGGCTTATTTCGGGAGAAGATATATCCAACCTAGACTAGGTAGATGACAGTCAGTCCTATTGTGTGAAGATGCTGGCAGAATAGGATCCAGGGATTCCTGTGCGACTTGATCGGAAGTGTGAATACGTGTGGCATCCTGTCCGTGACTGATGAATGCACAATACATGTACAGGATTCTACGTCTGTAAAACAAGGCCGCTGAAGTAATAAAATGACCACAGGTTTTACTGATAGGTGCTTCCGTTCGTGTGCTCGGGTCCAGTGAAATAACATAGTAAGGGATGTTGTGATTAGATGTTGAGTGTTCGGTGAGGAAAGTAGGTGAATAGAAGAGTTTGTGAATCTTCGCCTTTTGAAGTGCATAGGACGTTTGTTAATCATGTGGAATGTTGTCTAAAGTAAGTTGTTGTATCATTGTTTGTGATCTTCGAAGCGAAAGGCAGCAGCAATACACTGAGTGCGTAAATGTTAGTTATATTCCTACTGATGTCTTCGGGATTATAAGAACCAAGGGTTGGAGACTCGTAAAATTGCTGGAAATCACCATGGAATTCTGAACAAATTATCTTTCACGGTTGTCTTTCACTGATGTATTATTTTAATAATGACTAGTATTCGTTGCTTCCGTCCCGAATGGGAAGTAGGGCTTCAGTGTCACAGCTTATTATTATTACTAGTAATAGTAGTGTTAGTGTTAGTGTTGGTAGTAGTATTAGTAGTCGTAGTACTAGTAGTATGATTGTTAGGTCACAAACCTGGTACATTATGGTCACCAAGGAGTGCGCCACACAAAATCTGATTGTTTGTGCGAGGGGTGGGGTAGTTCCTCGACAGTAAACATTACTGTATAACACTGTGAAACTTTAACAAAACAAAATTTTCCCATAATGGAACTTCTTTGCACCTCTTTTTCTCTACCTTTTAGTGTACCTTTAGCAAGGGCAGCAACTTAAAGTGTTAAACTCTTGTGCAAAGTCCTAATTTTAAAACACACTCCGTCAGTTTCCCCACGTTTTTCCAGAAGCTATACTAATTCAAGGTAAAAAGATTATTATCATTAAAGAAATTAGCAATTGTATTTGTCAAATTAAGTTGTTACGTTATTTGTACAATCTTTCGTAACACAGTTATGATAAGTACAGGATTCTGAAGAGGAAAATACTGCTACATTTAATGCTTACTTCAGATTGCTCGGGTTACAAATCAATTTAGAATATATTAGTAGACAAGTTTAAAAGGAAATCCAGCTACTGCAATGCGTTCACTCGTATGTAAGTAATATATTGAGGTGGAGAGGGAGGTTAATCAACTAATCCTTCTTCATCGAATCAACACTAACACGCGTAATCGACATTTTGTGACGCTTATATATATATATATATATATATATATATATATATATATATATATATATATATATATATATATATATATATTATTGATTATAGCTTGAAACCACACAGTATTTTTGGTACAAGTATGGAATTTGCAGCATGTGATGTCGGTAGCCCAAATTTTGCAGGCCGACCGTAGATATCAAGTGTGCATCGGCAGGGAGTCGAACCCCGTGCCATGTGCGTGGTCGGTGAGAGTCCTAACCTCTGCGCCACCGACGCAAAGCGGTAAAGTCGTGTGAATCCATCAATATGATCATGAGCAATAAATATTGCTCGAAACGTCATTCAGTTATCAGTATTGTATCACTGTGTATTATATAAAATGAGCTTGGCTAAAATGGAAATAAACTCTCACAGTTTTCAAATTCTAAACTTTAATTTTTTTAACTCGGTCACCGAAGCAGATTTTTCATGTACCAGACTATTTTTTTTCTTTCACGTTCTCCAGTGGAACATAGGGCTTCAAGCCAGTGGCTTGAAGTTTCTGTAGCAGTGTTTATTTTACAAGATGGGGTTGGTAGCCTCATGCCCAACCTTTCCTCTTTACCAGCCTAATTTCTGGCTTAGCGAGGAAAAGGAGTTCGTCGACCGGGGAACGAACCCCGGACCATGTGAATGATCGGCGAGCATCCTAACCGCTATGCCACGACGCACATGTACCAGACTATGAGCCACACTTATCACATGATGATACAAGCCAACTGCCTATGTTGAAATATGTGGAGCCGAACATGAACCCGTGACAATTAGACTGAAAATACACGCATATCATTGTTAATAGATAATTGAATTTGCACAGAGTTCCATTCTTTCGCGTAAACAGTAATTTCGATTATCAATCGGAATATTATAACGAATAAAAAAATTGATTTTATTTTGAACGTTTTATTGTATTTACACAAGTCAAATAAGTGTTATAATTAATTAAATTAGAGTGTACACTTCACAGACGACCACCATCTTAGCAAAATATTTGGTGAAATACTCCCCGTAGGAATATAGATATCATTTACGAGTGAACGGACTGTGATCAAGTTTTGTTGGAACAATGAGTGGATGAAGAAGTTCTGTAAACTCAGTTATTTCATCTTGTAAGGAGTCATCTGCAGGACTACCAATTGTGCTTATCTCTACCATCCAACTACGAGAACAAATACGTCTCCATTCTTTTGGTGCTAATTCCTGAAATTAAAGAAAACCTGCGATTAGTTGTTTTCACTACTGAAAAAAAATTAACTGTTGATTTTCCAAAAACAAGCAAACAAGCACTGGATTCAATGAGGTGATAATTTGGAATCCATTACAAATGTGTTAATTAAAACAAAATAAAAGTTTCTTTTGAACCATTTAACGCATTATATGTGCTGGGGCAACACTTTTCATCATCAAGTAGTAGAAAACTTTACAAAATATCGTCGAGTAGAATATCTCTCGAGAGCATATCTAATGGTTTGTCTAAAGGGATAAAATCCAAAAGTATGTTAGCACATTATAGTTAACTGTTTACTACCATCATTTGTAACACAGTAGTGTGTTGAGTATGTATTAGGTATTATTCGAAATGCTGTAACATCTTCAGAATATCCATACAGAAGACAAGATGGCCAGGACGGATCAGCACTAAAAAAACGCTGAGAATGAACCACACAAGAACCTATTGCCCAACCAACATGCCAAAAAAAAATAATAGAGATGGACCGGCACACTCAGGAAACCATTGAGTGACGTCACGCGCAAAGCCCTAAGGTGTAAGCCAAATGGAAAAGGACGAGCTTCGCATGGATCCGAGGGTGACATGCAGGAGACCACGTGCGGAAGAGATGAGAGACTATGAGCGATCCCAGAGCCAGTTAAAGACGACTGCTATGAAAAAGGAAGAGACAGAGATGTGCTGATGAAGCTTATTATCCCACCCGGCACCTAAAGGAATAATATTAAACTTGAACCAAGCAAGAACGACAAATCTATCAGGATAACATCTTTAATTGTTTCGGGGATTTTTCTCAACTGGTTACAACTTGATCAATACAAAATTAGGATTTGAACATACTATTTTTGTGATGACAAGAAGTAGTTTATAGAATGAGTCACTGGGAAAATCATGTCGAATGTTAGACGTTCTGAATGGCGCTCATCCTAATATACAATTTACAATGGAGTATGAAAATAAGGACCACGGTATCCAAAGTGATATAAACGGTAAAATTGTAAGGTACATCCACAGCAAAATAGACCCGGTGGGCATTATATCTAAACTTTAAAAGCTTCTGTTCTATAAGTTACAAAAGGGATTGATGAGAACATTGTTTGGTCGCGTGTGAAAGCTTCGCTCAGAAGAAAAAGTCGAGGAATGTTTGTCCATTGTGGAAGATGAATGCATGATTATGGATGCCTACAGAAGTTCATCGACAAACACAGAGAACTTAGTGATGAAAAGTGATTTGGAGCACACTTTAGGAAAATTCTATTGTTGTACAGCTTGCCTTCAAAGTTGGTCGTAGCATAAGACGTCGGCCGGGCTTGCTGGGCTGAGAAAAACATATCCCAACGCCATGCTTCTATGTGTGTCTCAAATACCTAGGTGTTTAAGACAATTGGAAGTGGACAAACTCATACCTTATGTTATCTCCGATTGTCTCTACCGATTTACACGTACGCGCTAAAACAGAGAATGGTCACCATCTGCACATATACTAAAGAACTTGAGACTGAAAGGTTCACAGTCACTAAACAGTGCACAGTTGCGCGCCATCTTTTGAACACTGATCATATTGTGGACAATTTGAAGGTGTTAAAAATAATCAATAGATAAAGGAAACCTGGCTTGCTACATTTTGCTCAGGAAATCACCATCAAGTGATCAAAACCAAATCTGCTTACGCAGCAAAAGAAAGTGGTGAAACTTGCACCATCCTGGTGACTAGACTTATATAACAAGGTATATAACTTTATTACGTCGCGTATTCTCCTCAATCGTCCATCATGTTTAGAAAATACTCACCTAAATCCTTTTTCACTATCTTATAGAAACATATTTCCTGTAGTTACGCAACCTAATATATTTTTATACTCTTACCAGTTGACCTTTGTTTTTACCTGAAAATTTTGAAGTCAATTCTCAAGGGTATTGGGCCTAATTATCTTATATATAGTCAATCCCTTCAACTTTTAATAATTTAACAACCTACCGCATTTTTATTCTTAGTTCCAATCAATCACGAAAGAGAATGTTCATATCTTCATTGTAATTTATATTTTTTGTATTGTTCAGATTGTGGCCAGTTCAGAAGAATCCTTCAAAATAATATTAATAATAACGGTCTCATTCCACAAAATGAGTTCATATTATCCTGGTACATCCCGTCGTTCCTGTTGTGGTCTAGTTTACTAATGGGATTAGCTGCATTAATTTGGAATGAAAATCAATAATGATAATAATGTTGCTATGTTTGTACCACATAAACCATTTGTAGAACTATTAATAGAGCGGAAATTGGGGTAGCATTCAAACCTACAAACTCACTAAGGCATAATATTCGATTACACGAAATAATCTAGTCCGCAAAATACCATGCTATGAATGTCAAGTGGACTATGTGTATCAATCCAGTGGAGCTGGGTGAATTATGATATCAAAACATAAAACAAACACGGTATGACTAACCCTAAAAACATGACCTATTTAGAGAGAAAATCGCCCATTTAAGTGCACACACAATAAGGTCGAAAATAGTCACAGTTCTTAAAAGGAATATATTTAAGTATACAAGTATAAGATCTGCGCAACTATATACTTGCTCATCCGATCTACAACAAATATATGTAACTGGAATGACGAAATATGCAAAATATTATTGCCAATATCATCAGAGGATAAAAAATAATGAGAGTGCACAAAGTCTGGAATTTATATGAGCACTCTGATAAAATAAGCAGAGATAAATAGTGATCGTACCAACATCAGAGAATATACACATATATAATATGTGATGCTGTCACTGTTTGCATATTATGTCTAATAACTCACCTGTCCATCAAAACTCAAACCCATAGTATTTGAAACTGTTAAACTATGATATTGAGTGATTTCATTTAAAGTGTAGACCAACACTTTAACGCGTCCACGGATAAATTCTTGACCTTCAGCTATGTAGGTGAATTCATGTTCGAAGCCTAAATCATAAAGAAAGCTAACAATAGGTCCCGTAACAGGCACTTCAAGACAGCTACGTCGTAAAATCTAAACATAAATAAAAAAAAATACAGTTGGGATATTCTCCAATAGAAAATAAAGATCAATGAAACCACCTTTACCAGTAAAGTAGCATCTAGTGAGTAGGCGAAATCTTGAAACATTATTTTCGCCATAGCTCAATACTCATTAGCACATCTATTATTATTTTATTTGAAACACAGAACCTGGTAAAATATAGGCGCCAAGATGACGCACCACACAATAATGATAACAATAAAACAACATATAAAGAAAATAGGAAAAGAATGAATAGAGCACTTCATCCATAGAGAAAGCAACCACATTTAACAAAACCAAGCAAAATTTGTCGTATTACTGTTAGAAAGGGAAAAAGAAGGAAATCGCAGAACATTAGCCACGGATTGTAGTTTTTGGTCATAACTGATAGTGCTTTGACTCATCGATTCGAACTATCTCTCGAACCCCAACCAGGGAGTCGTGGTGTACCTACTGATGCTAACCTAACATAAATATCCTTCATCCAAAGACACCACGTCATCGGCTGACCATCCTCCTCTTTCTCCATCCCGTCCCGAAGCTAACGAACAGAAGGAGACCTGTAAGGAAGCCTTTGGGATGACATTCGTAATGTGGTGGTGTGATACAATGTGTTCCATCGGAATATTATTCTCACAGTAAGAATCATTGTATTTGTTGGAGTTGACATCCGAATACTGTTTCCACAGTTCAATACTATATTAGCAACCGAATACTATATATGTTTGGACATTCTATTTCATGTCGTTTAATGTAAACCAAAACGGTTTGATCAATGAAACTATAACTTCCGTCTAGCTTCCGTCTCTTGCCTTCTGCTGTTACAGTAGCACATGTCCAAGCAACCGGAGCTGGTGTTTCCAGATGACGACGCTCAATGAATAGTGATCTCCATTGTGTCGAAACATACACTATCAGACCTCAGAGTTAATCACACGATGATGATGTTGAACGTAAGTAATTCTAAGGAGACATCGATGATCGAATATGCAGAGTCTCCGCACATCCTCAGCTCAAAGAGACTAGATTTCACAGGCGTAGAGCAAGAGTGCGAGCACCAAAGCGCTGTAAACCCAACAGCACAAGAGATGGCTTAAATCAGCATATATCACCCTGGCTTTCAATGTACGCTCAGCGCTCACGCGACTACGCAGATACACGAAATTTATAGAAAACTTCAGGCAGTTCACAAGCAACGGTGAGTGCAACCATAGGCTCCTATAAATCTTGTAGCAGTACTTTGCACCTAGACGGTGCAAAGCACATGCTATACTTACAGACACTGATCGCCAACTGATTAAGTGCGATGTGGGCAGCCTGGTTCCTATGGCACAGACTATATCAATTTTAATTAGTTTAATTTTTAAATTTTTCTTATAGCTTGACTCTACACAATATTTTTGATACAATTATGGAATTTTCAGCATGTGATATCAGTAGTCCAAATTAAGCAATTCGACCAATGATATCAGGTGTGCGTCGGCCAGGGATCGAACCCTGGACCATGTGCATGGTCGGCAAGCGTCCAAACCACTGTGCCACCGACGCACAGGAAGCAGATATATGCAACCAACAATTACGTCCTTCAGAGCTGATTTTGGAATTTCGTCGATGGCAAAATTAAAGAGAAATGGAGAGATAGGGCGACTCTGTCCAACCCCTCCGTTGGTCGGGAACAGTAATGACAGCTGCTTGAATGCCCTTACTCTACCTAAGGTATTTCTGTATAGGGCTTTCACGATGTTAACAAACCTCACAGATACACCCCTTTCTAAAAGACAGTTCCAGATAGCAGCTCTGTCTGGTGAATCGAAGACAGCGCTAATATCAAGATACACACCAATTGTTGGTCTGCAGCACGTGCAGCGGTGTCCCAACGCCTGACGAAGGGTGAACACATAAACAATGCATCCACGGCCTGAACGAGACCAAGCATACTCTTCGTGAATCAACTCCTCACGTGTTGCACAGCCAGCGAAGCAAGACAGCAGCCAATATTTTAGATGGAACTAGTGCCAAAGTGATATCCCTATGGTTGCAGCATGCGTCCCGTCGACCCTTTTTAAAGATGGGTACGATGATGAATTCATTCCATGTTGATGGAATATCCTCTCTTTTTCAAACTTTCCTGAACAATCAAGTCAAAGCCATCACGATAATCTCTCCACCATCTTTTAAAAGAGCCAGAGATAAATTGTCTGGGATGGTAGCCTTATGGCGCTTCAACAATAAGAGCTCCTCTCGGACCTCCGCTACGATTGATGGGTCAGTGACACGGCAGCAGGAAGCGCAGTCGTTGTTAATCCGGGCCACGGCCGATCCGGCATGATATTTTGTGAATTTGTTTGAATGATGGTATTGGATGGGGTAGCTACTTTTTGTTTAACCGCTATCCAAACAACCTGCCTGGCATGGTAGAACCTCAAGAGACATAAGTCTCAGTCAGTATAGCTTGATTAGGTCATTGCGGTGTTCAGGCCCGACCACCACGTCAAGGTAGCAGCTTTCGGTCGAGGTGTTGACGTTAGGCGTAGAGTGTTGGGCAAACAGGGAAAATCAATCGACGAGGTTATAAAGTTACATAGACTAAGATGGCTAGGTCACGTGCTGCGCATGCCTAACCATCGCCTCCCCCGACGGGCATTACTAGCTGATATAGGTGCAGGTTGGAAAAGGGTAAATGGGGGCCAAACAAAAACATGGCATCAGTCCATGAAATCCTTGACAGTTAAAGTGAGTCAGGTAGGGAGATGCAGACTTCCGGGTTGGGGCCCTCGGGACTCTAGGAATCAATGGTTGGAGAAAATAGGTGAAATGGCTCAAAATCGTTGTCAACGGCGCAGATGTATTTAGTCTCTGTAATCTTTCATATTCCCTTCTACCATTACCCATTCTGTTTCACTCGTATACTTGTCAAACTCTATTGATTCTCTTCACTCATCTTCTTGTCTACTTTTGTGTGCTATTTGGAACGTGGCAACTCGAACTGATGCACTTCGGTGCCAAGTTCTATGTTGAATCCAGACAGACAGACAGACAGAGGATGGGTCAGTATTGAGCGACAAAGGAGCACTGTAGCTGATGACATTGGATGATGGCGCTGATAACCAGCTAAACTGCTCCTCAAAGTGCTCTGACCAGCCTCCCAAGCGTCCTTTTGGGTTTGTAGCTGGTGTAACATCTGCCTCACAGACCGACCGCCGACACCATGCTTCTTGCTGTAGGTGTCTCGGATAAGCTGGAAAGGCTTCCAGTTGTTGCCAGATGCAGCTGCTAATTCCATTTCACACGCACGTTCTAACCACCAGGCTTCATGATCCTTAAATAAACAGTTTGATCTTGCGCGTAAGCGCCCTGCGCAAGCTGTCTACCAGAAGGACCTAGTGCTCATCTAGAAACAGGTTATAATCTAAGTGAAGCTGCAGAAGATGGCCCAGATTGTCTGATCTGCGACCACACTGACCAACTTACACAACTCTCCTCTGAGCCTAGACTCCCAACACCTATGCATCCAAGTCCCAGCCAGTACTACGATATCTCTCTGACGCGCCCATCTCAGGAGATCACCCAGTCGGTAGTAAAACTCATCCTTAACTGTATCCGGACTGCAATCCGTCGGTGCATAGGCAGAGACAACAAATGGTTTACCACTTCTCACTTTCGTATAACCTTCCAGCCCCACAGCACATAAACGACTGTTAGTGGGGATCTAGTCGAGTTATGCAGCATTGTTTCTAGCGCCTAGTATGACACCAACAACAGTTACGTCGGATGCCAACGCCACAAGGTCACTGGATAAGCTCAGGTGGTATTCGAAATCTCAGATGGAGAAGACATGCGGAGCACTTCACTAGGATCTTGACTGTTGGTCTTCGAAATGTGGCAGATATCGATAATGAGGCGTTCCAATGTTCTTACCAAACTTGCGTGTTGTCTGGTTTGCATCAGTGTCCGAACATTGTAAGTGGCTAACTTGAACGTGACACGCGGTTGGAGGATATCCATCTTACATATCGTACTGGGGGCCAGCATTTAGAAGACCACTCATAGACACCTGAAAACGGTGCAGATAGGCAGAGAATTCAAACGAAGGAGAGACATTGACGAAAGTGAAGACATTGAGGATAACAAAAATAAAACACAAAAGTATACGTATAAAAATAAGGATAAGAAGAAATGCATTGCTAGAAACATCACTATTGTTCGTGATCGTGAGATTAAATTTCTTTATGATTTGTTGTTTCATTATTAGTGCGAGGGCTGGATACTGCGTGCGAGCCCACACTGAAGCAGGTGTTTGTCTTAACGGACCTCTTCACTATCCTTTGACTTGAAGTCTCATCCAAAGGGCAGCAGAACAGCGTCAGGAACTACGTTTCCATGCCTACCGGTGACTAATACAGGTTCATTAGCCATTCAATCCGTTTAGATTCTGTAGCCCATGTACACCATAGTAACTTCTTTTCGTTTAACCGCTATCCAAATAACCCTCCTAGCATGGTAGGACCTGAAGGAACATAAGTCCCAGTCAGTATAGCTTGTTGGGTCACAAGCGCAACCACCATATCAGGGTAGCAATTATCGGCCGGACATTAACTTATTGCTACGAAAAGTTTAAACTTTGCAAAGTTAGAAAGGATTAATTCCAATCCAAAATATGGAAATATAAACCTTAGGAGCTGAATAACTTACTATTTTATCAGTTTCCACCGCACCCAAATAACGTAGGACGGAAAGTTCACGACCAATTCTGTTTACTTTATCTAGAAGACTTCGACGCACACGTACAGTAACATTAGCACTTCCCGATCCAGAGATGGCTAAGGCACCGATGGCAGCTGATGTATTTGCAGATGACCTGTTACCTACAAGACTACTTGCATCTGCTCGGGAATCACTCCCTATTTCAAAAATAATTTCCTGGTCACAGAAATCTGTCCATTCACGACACAATCCATGAAGTCGATTCAATAATAATTCGTGCTGAATAGGAGATGAGATCACAGCCTATTGACGATCAAAGGAAGTAAAAATACCAAATACACAGAAGCATAAAGCTCATTACCATATTTAAAAATCTCCCGTGATGGCAATCAACCATAAACATTATAAACACTTCATATGATGTTTACCAGACGCCTTATAATGGGGTTCATATATATATACACGTGTAATTTATTCGACTGGTAACCTAAACATAAATCAAAAATTTGGAAAAGAATACAAAATTAAAATGTACTAACCTGTACAAAATATTCTTGCATAGTCGCGCCATGGGCTGAAGCACTACTGCCGGTGAAGTTATAAGCAGCCGCTAAAGCACTGGTATTACTCGGATCTATCGGTTCACCTGATGACCCTTGTGCCAAGCCTTCGACAGGACCCACTGCTTCAGCTATACTTCCACTTTCTCCCGGTAAGGCTGATAATGCTTCATCTGATAAAAGTCTAATGCTCATCCTATATTACAAATATTTACTGAAAAATAAACATCGAAAAATGAGTTAAAGATTAATGCAATAAATGTCTCTGGTGAAAACAGATTACATTAAACTGCTCATTTGGTTCCTCTGAAGCATCATAATTTTGGCTATCATAAATAAAAAGATAGTAAGACCAAACATCAGTGGAGAGAAAATATATACACGAGGCACTCTAAAAGACATAAATAAGAGATGGTCACGTGTTGGTTTCAGGACTTTATCATGTCTGTCTGAATTCAACATAGAACTTGGCACCGAAGTGCATCAGTTCGAGTTGCCACGTTCCAAATAGCACACAAAAGTAAACAAGAAGATGAGTGAAGAGAATCAATAGAGTTTGACAAGTATACGAGTGAAACAGAATGGGTAATGGTAGAAGGGAATATGAAAGATTACAGAAACTGAGCTGATTTCAGTTAGAGAATCATTGAAAAACCTGGGAATAGTGGACAGCCGTTTCGTCTCAGTTTGGGACTCATCACCGGTACGCACCAACGCAGGTGCTCCCAGGTTTTCCTATGGTTCTCTGACCGATATCAGCTGATGATGAAATCCTGATACGAAGGAGATATTGAACTTATTACTCACCCATTGGAAGGCAGCAAGCAACTATTGCAAAATGTATATAGTAACAACAGTGTTTTAGTGAAACACAATTGGATTTGAACTAGATAACCAGGTGTATGATTTATTAAGATTCGAATGAAAACATACAGAACAGTGTTTGAGATCAATAATGAAATTGATAACGATAAAAAGATCCTTACTACCACCACCTTATGCATAAAATTATATAAAAATAAGTAGAAACCAAACCTTGGAATTAACAGCTTACATACTGATAGTTTTATACCGGTTGATTGTTGACACATAACAGAAGAGAATGCATCGCTGTCTTCTAATCAACAGCACATCTCAGCTAGATGTACCCATGTAAATTTTTAAAAGTGATACCGTTGTGGTGAGAGCTGGCTGTTAGCCGAAATTAGTGGACAGTAATTTATGTCAATGTTTGTATCCCCAATATTGGTCGTGAGAGAAATGAGAAGAAAGGCTTTGCGTAGGCGGATACAGTTAACATATAGATGATCTGACATTTAAGAAACAGCCACAAAGAGATGCAAGGTTAAGTTTCTATGAGAAACAACCAGTCAGAAGACTGTGTTTTTCTGCTAACAATAATCTATAATATGTACATGAAAATCTATAAATGTGTTGATTCTCTTAATAAACGATCTGTTGCCTGGCCCTTGTCTTCTGTTGTTATACCATTATTTTTAAAAAGCAGAAACAAAGATGAGAAGACTGTACTTTCCATCATCACATAAAAACAAGATAAACATTCAACCCCGAAAACCTGACAATCCTTGTAGAAATATCACGAAGTGTATCAATCGATTCTTGTGAAAACACACTTAAAGAATCAAAAAAAGTTGAGTGGAATCGTTTAAACGCCTAATCGATGCATAAATCATTGTATGAGGGTTAGCGATGCTACATGGCAGGCTAAACATCAGTAGGTGGAGTACTGTGTCCGAACCCGTATACCAATGGTTGAAAGACAGGCATATAGACCAACGGGCCACAACAGCCTCGCATTTTAGTTTTAACTAAGTTTACCATTTCGTTAATGTTATATTCACCAGTGAATACCAAAAATATAACTGGACATTAAATACCAATCAGAACCATTCCATGCAACACACAGACGGTGATATGAAGTTAGAAGTGAACAACGAAAATTAAACGGTATTTATTTTTATACAAACAACCACACTTGCACAAAAAATATAGTTAGAATAACAAAGAGGTATCTTCTTTTATATTAAAACCATTGTGTGTTTAGATGTTTTAAAATTGTATTCCCCATATTCCCAACCAAACTAACAAGATGAGAAATATATTATAGATAAAGATAAAAAATACTTGTGCAAAATGACATGAAATCCGTGGATAAGCAGAGCAAATGAAGAAGGGTCAAGACTTCTCGGTTATTTTCGGTGCAGTACCTCGAGAGAATTTCAATAAGTGATGATAATTCGGCAAAAGTTTCGTCAAGAAATCAAGCTGCAGTGTTTGTGCAGGCGGACGTTCAGTCGCGATACGACGATTACCCTACGGAAGAAAAGAGACAGACATATGTAGATGGCACTGATGAATGTTAAGGTGGTTGATTTAACTGGATGGATTGAAGTGATTAAAAAATAGTGTACAAAATATTCATATATATATATATATATATATATAGAGAGAGAGAGAGAGAGAGAGAGAGAGATCTTAATCTCCGCCAAGAAACTGAGCTCCGTCCGAGTCTAGTGACAAACTACGTCTGCATAACTATCAATACTGTTGCCCAAATGATTTGACTTGTCAACTTTATTATTATAGCCTACACAAACATGCGAATAAACGAACCTGACACCAGTATTCATCGTCGTGCCAAACAGTCATATGTCACATGCGAAATACACCTCAAGGACTGTTGTTGGAAGATTGTTTGAATAGCCGTAACTGCTGCACTACACCTAATCACAAGGACTTCTTGATAACGTATCCCCATCAACTAATATAAAGATAGATATCATCTAACAGTTACAGTTACACATAGTGTATACATAGCGAATACAGTCATCTAAGTAATCTCTATATATGCAAGTAACATACACATGAAGGAAGACCTTCAACTTAAGTTTATTACTAAAAGAATTAATTTCAAGGATTTTAAGAAGAACACGAAAAAAGCATGGTTGGTCTAATAATCACAAACAATAACCACTATGACAATAACAGTACGAACTTCATCGCTGTAGGCAACAGTACACTCCGCTATTGTTTCTCCAGCATCCAATGAAAACATTGCACCAATTACACAACCGTGAGTAATTTTAACATTTGGTCCAATATGACATTTCGCCTCAAAAACATTATTATCACCAATTTCTAGGGCATAGCAACGAGTCCCCACCTGTAAGGAGAAAAGAAATAACACACAAGCTATTGGATCGATTAAAAAAGTCATTAGTAGTAATGACACCGTGTATTCATTTTACAAACACTGGGGGCATTTACCATAGCACGACTGACATCCAACTGTGTTACTAGAGATTAGCAGAAATAGACTCCAAATATAAGAATAGGACTTGGGCACTGTGGTAGAGTACAATTCCACTAGAGAGAAAATTTATATTGATAAAATCTAAGTGTTATACAGTAATATTTACGATAATATTACCAGTGAATATCACTGTATAACACTGTCTAATATAAATTTTCTCCAAAATAGAATTAGATCCCAAATACTCTTAACGCCTCAGTTATGTAACCTGTTACCTTAAGTAAAATTCATTTCGTCATTGAGTAATCTTGTTTTGACCATTGTCCTACAAAGGACTAAGCAAAAAATCCGACTATCAGTGTCTCTCTCCACCTAACTATGTTACCTTTGAGAACTATAACTATGTCCGGCCTTATTTTTTGATTGTGTGTTAGTATATGCAATGCAATAGCTTAGTTTTTCTTTAGATTGGTCTTTTTTGTGGCCGACTATTCTTCACTTCGTAGATGTCTAAGCGGGTCAAATGCATAATTTAGCTTACAGATTTCACCCCAAAACACCACGGACTGATTAACCCTCTATTTTCCACCATGGCCAGCAAGAAGTCAAGCATATGGCAGCCACTACGATAACATTTCGTAGCACTTGTCCAAACCACAGAAACCGGTGTCAAAAAATTGCATCACTTATTGGGAGAAGACCGCCACTATGTTTAAATGCATTCTACCGGAATTCAGAATTACTTATACGATGATACAACCATCTGCAAGCAATTCTACATTGACAGGTTGGGAGGCCAGGTTAGAAAGGTGTAAAGAGAGACTGTTCACACCGAGCATTGTACACCCAAACTTTCACGGACGGGTTAACCTCGCGACGGTGACAGAGGTGGCCCACAGTGGCGTATGCCACTCTGGCTTTCACTACACAGTTAGTGATCACATTCGTCAAACTTCCGCAAGCGCTCACACAGCTATCTAGATACACAAACGTCTCGACTTATAACATTTTATATGCAAGGGTGGGTGCAGGTATAAGCTCCTCCTAATCTTGCAGTAATGTTTTCCACTTGGACGGAGGGAAGTACATATCATACTTACTGACACTGGTCACCAAATGATTATGTGATGTTCGGGTAGCTCTTATGTTATCCAACAGTAGGTTGATGTCGCCTGCATGCTACTAGTCAAAATGTCCCTCAGTAGCAGATCTATAGCACCACTACACATATCCTCAAAAGTTTTCTCCACAATATCATTCATGGCATTGATAAGGAAAAGTAGGGAAGCAGATTAACCCTGTCTAACTACACAGTAATGACTGACGGTAAACGGGATATTTTTAGGTCGTTCAAAAGACAGGCTCACGAGAGGACACATTTACAAAAAGAACAGACGGTACCTTAAAGAGGAAGATCTATAGGAAAGAGACGTGGAACGGATAATTCACCTACTTCCATAACTTCATACCTATACAATATAAACGCAACCTAATTCGTTGTCTTAGTCATAGAATTAGAAGCATATGTACCGAGGATTGTATTAAAGATGAAATAAGAAATCTTACAAACGCCTTGCTACGAAATGACTACCCTACCAACTTTGTAAAGAAGTATATCTACGAAACTACACATAAAACCAAGCGAGACACAGTAAGTAAGAAAAAACTTTACTTAAATGTACAATTCAAAGGCGATATAGCCAGCGATATATTAAACCGTAGATTAACAAGATCAACTGAAAGAACTTTTAATGCCACAAAACTGCATGTCAGTTTCTCAACCAAACCGATACTGACACTGTGCACTAAAGATGGATTGCCCAAAATGGCGACATCAATGTGTGTATACAAATTCAACTGCTCCTGTGGAGCTAGCTATATAAGTCGTACCCAAAGGAATTTATCCATACGTGCTCGTGAACATATTCGTGTTTGGCTTGGGAAAAGAGCAACCAAATCACTAAATAGTGCAATTCTGTCTCATCTAGTGGATAGCGAACACAGCATCAAAGTAGATGAGTCATTTACAGTTGTGTATCGAGTACTGAACAATCTCCCCGAAGGCACACAATTACGCCTCCTAGCCATAACTGAGGCTTTAGAGATTAAGAGAGAGAGAGACGAGACCTATGTGTACAGAAAAAACTTATTCACTCTCTTTGTCTACCCTGGCCCACTATAAGGTCACCAAGATCATAATTTTTCATACTATTGTTATCATTTGGTGATATCACGTCTTTATTATCCATTTCACCACCCAGTTTATTTCACCCTTAATTTTTGTCAACCTTCATGATTCTATACTAAGCCTACCAATTCTGTAACATCTTATTACAATTTACAATTTAGTCTCTTTATTTTATCATTAGACATTATCAGTCAACCCCTTTTGTTAATGTGTGTTTGTATGTATTTTGTGGTTATCGCATTTCTCTCACCCCAATGACATTTGTATTCTGTTGACTATATAACAACACACTATATCACCAAATTGTTCATTCACACTTCATCACATTTTTCTGACTATAGACCCTATACACATTTAATTGACTATGTTAACTAATGGACTATCATCTCAACTTACACATGCACACCAATATAGTTTCTGATATTATTTTCATTTGTCTTTATTGGCTATATGTACTCTATTATTCATGGATTTATAACTGTAGAGCTTGAAGAAGTTATCGAAAACAATTGTTCGCTCAAAATCTTGTTTTGATTACTATAATGCATTTGAACATCCTAGATACCAACTACCACCACTATTTTGTAACTGGTTGTAAGCCCTCACTCCACCTAGTGTTTTTGTATAAGGCTTTCAAGATGTTGACAACCATCTCATGAACACCTGTTTCTAATAGACAATTTCAGATAAAAGTTCTGTTCAACTAATCCATGGCAGTCACAATATCAGGGAAGACCACCATTTCTGCCCTGCACTATGAATGATGGTGTTCAAATAACTGACGAATGATGGAAATGTGATCGTTACACTCATATCCTGAACGAAACCTAGAATCAATTCTTCACAGTTTATAAAGCCTGCAGAGCAGGACGTCAACAAGTATTTTAAATGTAGCTGTTAAAGAACCAAACCCCTGGTGACTGCTCTATCAACAAGTGGGCCAATAATAAAGTGGGCTCAGTAATGGCTTAATTCCACACTGATTGTAAACTCGATCCCCGACATTTCCCTAAACGATTTAGTCAGTTATTTAAATAAATTCTCACCTCCGTTTTTAAATGCCTTACGACGTTTGAGTACTTGGAATTCCTTTAGGGTTTCCATTTCGACTAAACGGACCTGTATTAGCAGATGATGTGACATTGTGATTAACAGTATCGGAAACCGATGCTGTGAGCTATCTTAACTTCTTGCCAAAGCGCGCTGCCCAGAACTTCAAGCATCTTTTAGGTTGTTAATCAGCTTACCATTTGCCTCAGAAACACCCTCGCCGACACCACGATTGCTCCCGTCGGTGACTCGAATGAGCAAGATTCCAATGTTGATTCCATTTCACACTTACATTCTGATTACGAGGCTTTGCAATCCTGTTTAATATTAACTATAAGAGTTTTACGCAGGTTATTGTAATAACTATCCGCCGAAATGGAACGAGGAAAATCAAGTATTTACCAGTAACTAACAGATACCCAATAGTTTTAGTGGGCAATACTTCTAAGCTGCAAGTGACTTCACTCGATATTTTTATGGTTTCTTTTAAGTGCAAACAGTATTCGTTTATATTATTGATAAATAACCTTGAACCTACCTAGGGTTGATACTTCGCATAGTTAGGACGTGCTATCAGTTAAGCTACCTTAGCCTGTTGAGGTCCACATTTATTATTACAATGAAGTTGCAAAATAAACCTAGCACACACTAATCCAGGCCCAGAGCCCAGCCGAAAGGTTTATGGTGAGAGACAATCCATTATGCACCCAAACCATCGTTAGCTAATAGTTATATGATCTATATAAGACCATGCATGACTGGCAGAAGGAGAACGTCAGGTAGCACTAGGGCAATGGCTGCGTCACAAGTTGGTACTGGCTAGAAATAGATTTTGACTGGCACGGAGCTGCAGAAAACGTTCCCTACCATCTGACTTTCAACTACCTCGGCTCCATTGACAACTTAAACAACTCTCTTTTGACCTGGACGCCCAATATGTACATTTAAGTACCCGGTTATCACTACGAAACCTGTTCAGTGAGCTTGGTTGAGATCACTCAGTGGGTGATAGAACCTATCTTTAATTGAATTTGAGCTGTTATCCGTCGATGAGCAGGCAAAGATGCCAACGCTTTCCTAATCAGTCATTTCCACAGGCCTAACTATTAGCTGGAATCCAGTCGGGAAATACAGCTTTGCCTCTAGCGCTTCATGCAACACCAAGACCAGATAAGCTGGACAACAAAGGGACCTGAATAAAGGCAACTCTAACACGCCATTCAGCCTTGAGATACCAGCACTTCACTGAAATTTTATGTGCGGCCATCAAAAAGGTAGCATACATCAACAGAATCTTTCCAGGGGTACTGGTCAGACAAGTCTGTCCTCTGATTTGCATCAATGTGCGAAAGTTGTATACGGAAAATTTGACTGCGACACATGATCTCAGAACACACGTGTCAGGTATCATACTGGAGACCAGCTTTCTGAAAACATTTCAGAAACATTTTCAGCAACTCAAAACAATACAAGCACACTGAGATTTCAAACAACTATGAACGTCTGACGAAAGTAAAGATACTAGAAAAAGTAAAAATGATACAGAAAATAGAAATAAAACAAAACGGTTTATGTATAAGAGAAAATGCATAATGATATTCGATCAAATCGCTGAATATGCGATTGGCGAAATAATTTGTTTGCAGAACAGTAGGTTTGATGATTAATGTAAAGGCTGAGATACTGTCTAGGCATTCAAAACGAAACAAGTACTTCGTGATAGTTTCGAGTAGATAATTCCAAGTCAATGTATTCGCTTGATGCTATATAAAAAAGTTCTAACAGATTGCTGCCCATTTAACACCAACAGAAGAAAACCGCTCACAGTTGATAAATACAGCAGTATTAATGTGAGCCCATTACAGTAGGCATACAAAATAGTAAAGAATTACCTTCACTTGAACTGACAGGTAGCGACATCAATGTATTTGACTTGGGGCAGTATCATAAACCTTTAAAGCTAAGTGCACAAAAAACATGTAGAATAACTAATATGTATGATGACTATCTAAAATATCCTTAAAAATTAAAACTGATACACAAAGGAATAGTGGAAAATAAATTACAGCATACACTAGCTAACCTCGAACACATTGTAGTCTCCTATCCTCATTGTAGAACCGGCAATTTTATTCACTATTTCAACCTGTTCTTCAATTAAATTAAACGAACCAATAATTATTGGACCAGCTTCAGCAATAATACGAACTTTTGGATGAATAACAGTATTTGTACCGATGGTTATATCACCAGATAGTTCACATTCTGAACATACAACAGATCCTGGTGATATACTCACTTGACTACGAGATGACGCAAAACCCGACGATGGTTTCATTACACACCTGGAAAGAAATAATCGAAAGTCATGTATCCAAAATACGTCTGTAGCAAATGACAGAGATGACTAATATCATGATCGGCAATTAATCGAAATAGATATTTCCACAAACATACAAATCTTATAAGTTTCAGAGAAATTCAGTGTACACCACATTGTTATGCTTGTGAGTTTTTTATCAGAGAGAACTTTTTTCAATCTGAGGTAAACTTTCACCACAAGGTAGAACAGTTTTCTGTACAGTACTTACTTGTATAAAATAAATAAAAGATGAATAAATTCATTTGACGACAAAACTCATATCTAAACAATAAAGATGTGTTGATACTCAGTAGCAAGCTTCACCTCACAACTATATAAGTACAGGGAAGGTAGCTGGCCTCATGAGAAACAGTTGAAGACGAAGTTTATGATCTAACACTAAAATTTAATTCGCTTATTATGGTACACAACAGGTTTCGTCATCAACCCATATCTTCACGCCAAATGATTTAATACAGGAATGTATGCTAGAAATCACAGCTTTAAAATATACTTAACACTTCATCAACCAATAAGCATTGCAAATTAACACTAATATGATTAAATTTTTCGTAAAACAACAGTCTTATAGTCACTGGACTGAAACCAAATACAATTTGATCAGTGGACTATGACAGTTTCGAAGTTACTACAACAGTAGAAAGAGAGGCATCAAACGAAATGCATGGTTACCCTTTTCAGAAAAAACTAAACTCGCAGTTCCATTACGCTTATACTAATGGATTATGACCTCAAAGTTAAGCATCAGGTATTAACCTGGCCAATATAAATTTACTCTACAGGAGAATTCGGCAGAATACAACTATACATCAGATAGGCTCAAGTGATACAACACAGAGACACAGCACAAATAACTGGATGGCGTTTCCAACTAAATAAACATATTTAAGTACTTCTAACCTTCAATACACGGTTTTACTGACTCATGTTTATGAATGCAATTTTCCGCAGATACAGAATTGGGTTGATTCCTGAAATTACACTTAGAGGTAAGAAGTCAGTTGTATATATAGTTTCAGGAGTCCTAATGTTCAACCTTCACGATCATCGAATTTCACAATATATTACATGCATAGACAAGTAGGATGGTAAAAGGATCAGCGAATTCCCAGTATTGAGAAACACATTTATGGTGGTTGAGAATGTATACCTGTTAGGACGTTTCTTCCAGTTCCTAGGTCAATTATTGTAATATTATTCGTTTCTCGCGTTCCGAGTGGAACACATCTTCATTTTACTCGGTTCTCTTCCGACACTTTCACCTGCCTCCACGATTATCAACAAGCTTTCATTCTCTCTTCACATCATCTTCTCCATATCATCCTATGGACGCCCAACTCAAGGCCTCTTCATTTTTGTTCTATTCGATGATGTGGCGTGTGATGTCACTTGAATATCTCTGCAGTGTATATCAAATCCATCTCCGTTTCATTGTCTATGTTTGTCGGGCAGTAGGTTCCTAGCAGATTCGCCACCTGTCAGTCTGTTGTTACTTATCCTTTCTAGCAGGGTAAACGGCCTTTGGTATCCTGCAACGGCACCCGCGGCGAATGTCTGCAATACCTGTTGAAAAGGCATTTTAGAATGCCGGTGCCAACTCGCTAAATCATATCGAAGCAATGACACTACATTGGTGTTGAAAATTCGGATCTTGCTACCTGTGCTAAATGCTGCTGATCTACGCTGATCCTAAATAGCCTAGATATCCCCAGCTGCGCCTGTTGTTGAACGATGCTGCTGAGGTAAAAGAAAGACGGTTTCCTTCAAATTTCCCTCACAGGTGATTGTTATTTGTTGCTGATACCTGCTGGATATCTTCATCACCTATATTTCTTTATGTTCACCTGAATCCTGCCTTCACTACCTCTTCTACCAACTTGTTCGTTTTTACTGGTATACCTGTCAGTTTCTGCGTTACGACACAAGTCACCCACGAAGTATTTTTGTCTGCCCAACATGCATTCGTCTTGCCAATTCCACGGTTTCCCGAATGGCCCAATGCACTACAACTAGGGAGATGTCCGTGATGTTCGTGTCTTACTCCTGTCTTCAGTGAGCTTTGAGTCATGAATTACTTGGCATGTGGCATAAAAGTATAGCTATCTAAAAGGGTTTGAAATTTTTTGAAGTAATGCCCGCCATAGTTTTCAAGCAGTTCCCGAATTATTTCACAGTCGACGCTGAACGCGATTAAATTGAAGTATAGCATTGACCGCCAGTTCAGACTTTGTTAGATGACGATCCGTAGTGTTGCAACTTGATGCACATATGATTTGTCTTCCCTTAGTTCGACTTATTCCAAACGAAGTTTTCCACCTAAAATATCTTTCAATCATTCTAGTATGATGTGACCTAGTATTTTGCTTCGGGGGGACAGCAGCATGATTCCGCACTCGTTCGTGTGTAGGCTTCAGTCACTCTTTTTTTTCGGCAATTTGATGATGTAGTCTTTCTTCCAAATGGCAAACACCCACCATTTCCTTCATCCACATTTTCTGCAGTAGTGGCGCAGGCATGTCTTCTGAGGTTTTTGGGTACATCTTCAGTGCTTCTGGAGGAATTCCATCTGGTACAGTAGACCAGACACCAGCACTGATAAAATCTATCACACTGATAATTACTCAGATTTTGAGTCTTCTCAATGAAAATCAGTGAAAAAGGGTTTATTTCAATGTTTATGATACCCAGTCCGGAGTTTGATCGTTTAGTAAGAAAATTAAAATAAGGAATAATTGCTGCTGTGTAGATATTCACTATAATTCATAAAAATACTCGTTAGGACTCATTAGAAAAACTGGGGTAGCAACGCAAGTGGTCTCTGGAAATGAACCAACCAAGAACCTATCGTCCAATAAATGTACAAAAGGAAACGTAGGTGCAGTGAACATACACTCAGTAAGTATTCAAGTGACACCATACACCACATCGTCGAATACAACACAAATGAAGAGGCCTTGAGTTGGGCGTCCATTGGATGATATGGAGAAGATGATGTGAAGAGGGAATGAAAGATTGTTGATAACCGTGGAGGCAGGTGAAAGTGTCGGAAGAGAACCGAGTACAATGAAGATGTGCTACTGAAGCTCTTTTGTTCCACTCGGAATGCAAGGAACAAATAATGATAAGAATAAATGCTGATGACAGTTATAAAGTAGGCAATAAGTAGCATAAAGCAGCATCAGAACAGGATCCTTAATAGGACTGAAGTCTGAGTGACATTTAACCTACCCAACACGCTCAGAAATACACTTTGATGATTTAAAGATCCAACAGAACAAACTAGACAGAGTAATGTGATATAAGGACTATGATATCAAATACACAGGTCAGACTAGTAGATTGGAGTCCATTACTTTATCTAGAATGATAGGCCAACTAGACTAAGTAATCTACGAGAAACTCGATCATTGCTTTACACACAAATACAAAATAAAATGTAATATAGCTAGATGAAGAAAGAGAGAGAGAGAGAGGTTAATCATCCAATCTTTGTTCATCATATCAACAAGAAACAAATGCAATATAAGTGATGCAACATCAACTCCAGATTTATGAATAATTACATTATTAAACATGGAGTAGGATTTTTTTTAAATATATAAAGTAAAACGGGAAGTTGTGTGAATGATAAATTGATATGACTATGAGCGATAAATTGTGCTCCAGACGTCATCCAGTTATTAGTATTGTATTACTATCCATCGTGTCCAGTGAACTTATCTAATATGAAGTGAGTTTACCTCAGGTATAATAAATAATATCATTAACGTGGTTTGTACCATTTGATCTCGACAACTAGTAAAATATAACCTTGTAATTTGAGTGCATCGGGTATATAAGGTGCAAAACACGCTTTTCAATTTGAACAATATTATGTTAGTAAGAAAAGCTACCTCAAGAAATGAGGCAGTAAAATGATGTATATGTGAAAAAAAATATCTGCCGCATGGACACCACTCAACTCGAGGCAAACGTAAATGTTAAAGAAGCATACAAGATAACACATTCACAACGGTACACTATATGACAACAGAAGTAATAAAAATCAAATCGTATAGCACGTATTTTATTATCTCACCTGTGTATACAATTATTCAATCTTTACCTCAAACGTAATACGACAAAACAATACACTCGGTTATCAGTCAAATATGAAGTCTTTAATATATGTATATAATAAAAATAAACTTGAGTAGTACTGGCGCAAGGTTGGACACAGAAAAAGACCAATCCGTAAAATATATAAAATAAGTGGGGGATGGAGGGGGATGAAATGCAACTGAATAGTAGTATATCTGTGTTAGTGATAAACGGAAAGGTAGATAAAAATGATAGTAAAATGGTTAAATTAATGGAGAGAAAAAAAATAGTCAACTCGGAAAATGCGTTTCTTTGACCGTTTCCTTAAGAGCAAGGACAAGATTTGCCCGATAAAATGTGCACGTTTTATTCCGAGGCCTCTCTTCATCTGCAGACAGCCTAAAATATGCATAGGAGTAGTCAAATAAGAATTACTATTCTCAACCCTGACTTTTCCTCAGTAGAATGAAAACATGTACATTCTAATTTCATATTAATTCTAGTGTATATTTTGGACGATGGTGCACACTTAATCCTGCATATCTTGTTCTTCTTGCTTTGACGAAAACGTCACTTGATGAACAGCTTTAGTTTAAGAAAGGAAAAATGGAAAAATCTGAAAAAATGACTCTATGTGAAAATCAAATTTTTTAAGATAACCACAGAAAATATGGGATAAAGTGGTCAAATAATGTATTGAATGTATACATAAATGCAATGTTATTTGGTCAGTGACTAATACAAGTGTGGGAAGTAGTACGGACACAAGAAAAATAAATAGTAACAAAATATACTTTGTTAATGTTAGAGACTATTCTTTTTTCCAACCAATGGTGTAAATTAAACTTCTCTCTGAAAGAAAGAGTAGAAACGAATTAATCTACAGTTAGAATATCATAGATACTAAAATAAGTACAATAACATAATTGTTACACTGAAAACCTCAAAATGAAAATGGTAAGAACTTGAAAGTTTAGCTAATCGATTACACTACAAAACATTTTTACCTTTCATTTTATACACTTTTTTTTCTCTAGAATACGGTATGTTTCTGTACTGGTATACACTATGTTGTTTTGTCTTCATTGGATATGAAATCGAAACGATAGGTTTGAATATGAACAGTCACCACTAATCTTTGTCCTAACCAAACTGTAATCTAGTAGCAGTAGTGTAATCAGTAGTTTCTTGTCTTATGTGTAGGGTGGGGAATATATGGACCTTCTTTTAAACCTTTATCTGTGTGCATCCTTCAACTAATTTCTTTACCTATTAACTCTGACTTTGCATAATTTTGCGGTTAAATCCAAACGGAAAACATAGATGTTTCGCACGCTTAAGTCTTTACCAATGGTCTTGAACTTGAGTAATGGAGGAACTGCAGAGGTATACTATTAGCAGTGGGAATAAGTGATTAATTTTGAAAAAGGGAAGAAGATAAAGAGACTAATAGATAAGTATGTTAGTTTTGTGTGTTTACAAATGCACATAGTTGGTATATACCGAATTCCTATACAGTGGAAGTTGACTTTTCCTGAAGTACTTAAAACAAAAAGATAACTGATTTTCTGGACGTCCAGTTAACAAGATGGAACACTAAAAAGATCCATCTACATAAAGCCGACATAGAACGAACAACTGACTAACTTTCACAGCTAGGTGCCCCTATATACAAACGAAACCTGACCTGTTCACTGAGCCACAGAATCCACAGTATTTGCAGTCCTGATGCTATGAAACAGGAGCTACACACTGAAAAGAACCCTGTTCGAAAATAGCTACCCAGAACGTTTTATCACAAAATCTATGAAACCTAAACCACCAAAATCACTCACACTTTCTGCTCTCAAAATACGTCTATACCTAAATCTACAATGCAATGGGGACTCATCGGCAGAAATATTGAGAGATCGCCTGTCCTGCTCACTGAAGAAAACTTTCTTCGCGGCTGAATTCCGACTAACTTTCTCTACGAAACCAATAATTTGCATGAAAGTCAAAGATAAGTTACCACTGTTGGCCTCATCAATGTGCATCTGCCGATTCACCTGCTCGTGTGGAGCTAGGTATGCTGGACGTACCCAATGTTCGCTATCCAAACGTATAATCGAAAAAATTACTTTCATGATTTTACAAAGGAAAAACGGTCCCTCCTCGAAGATCTATTCTACAACACCTCACTGAATCAGGACACCAAGCAAACCCGCAAAACAACTTCAAAGTTACCTGCAGAATACATGGGAATCCTGCCAAAAGAGTACAAATCAAACTAATTTTATGTTATCCCAAAGCACAGGGGATGTCTGATTGAGCTTTGTCACACACTCCAAGTTAGAAGGTATTATAAATAGTGGAGATATCTGGGTACATTACTACAAACAATGGAAAATTGCAGAGAAAGTCAAAAATGTACAATTTTGCGTCTACCTTTTACAACTCTTATCCAGCAGAGTGACGAGGTGGTATAACTGGCTGGTTAGTAGTCTGAATGTAACACTTTTACTGTTGTCCCATCACGATCCACTAGCAAAGTAATTTTATTTTACGGTTTCTCCTACGATTTGAGTAACTAAATTATAGTCGCAACTGCTGAGTCCTGTTGTTGCCTAACTGATTTTTACGACACAGTAAGACTTCAGAGAATAATTTTACTATCCAATACGGATCGTTGGTCCCCTACGCTACGCGGGTGTGATCACGTCGACGTTGAATATATCAGTGAGAATACAATCTCAATACAGAAACAAAAAGTTTTATATACGAGGTTAAAAACAGTAATGCAGAAACAGACACCTAGCTTCGTAAAAAAAGCAAATATAAAGCATAAAAAGTTGTGAACATACCTATTGACTGAAATCGTCTTCTTCTACAAATTCACTGGCTGAATCATCACTTTTAGTACTCGGTATTTGTGCATCAGACTCTTCACTCGAAGATTCCTCGTACTTATGCGCTTTGCGTTTTGCTCTAGTTGGATTACGCCGTATAGGAACGCACTTTTTAACATCTACCGGTATTTTAGGTAACAAATGTGCTTTATCAGCAGCACCTAAACGTATCCAGCCTTCACTTGCATATGCTTTTTGCGATATATCAAAATCATCAGACGACTGAGTTAATTCCTCTTTTTTATATGAACTAGTACTGATATCATTAGTGCGTATGGTTGCAGCCTTGTTTTTCTTGCTTTTTTCAAATTTTTCAACAGTGGCTCGTTCACTATGCAAGGGAGCCAAGGCGAATTGCGCTTTAACTCGATGCCATATGAAAATTCCACGAACTAAACGTTTCCAATTTTCTAGTGCACGTTCTGTACGTTCTTCGTTCGCTGCTTTGGCTGCATTCATTTGCTCTGCACGCCATGCATCAATTAAAACTGGCACAGATTCTTTACAAACAACATAACCTTCCGTTTTTGGATGAGCCCAACCGCCTGCATGAAATGACCAACCGACAATGGCTTCTGCACAATCAATGCCAAGTTTTTTAGCGACATGCTGAATGCCTTCATGTAAAAATATAAAAAGAAACAAATTTCCACATAGAAAGAGAAAATATTTTGAAAGGAATGTGCTAATAGATACATACATTAATTTTCCATTAGATAAACAACCCGATATTAAGTTCAAATTGCTCGACTTAAGTGTCAATCAAAATTAAACTGAACCGATCAAGCGTCAGTGGCACAGTGGTTAGGACTCTCGCCGACCATGCACATGGTCCGGGGTTCGAGCCCACGCCGGCGCACACCTGATATCTATGGTCGGTCTGCAAAATTTGGGCTACCGATATCCATGCTGAAAATTCCACACTTGTACCAAAAATACAGTGTGAAATCAAGCTGCAAATCAAAAATTAAAAATTAAATTAAAAAAAATTGTATTTCTGAGTTTTGTATTATTTCTATTAGTAACTGATTGACTCCGAGGGAAAATGGAACCCAATCAAGTTAAGACACAGAATTAGATAATAACAAGATATAAGTCCAAATCTACATGAAGCCAAATTAATTAGTAAAGTTACTATGAAATGGATTAAGTAGTAATTGAAAAGTGACATAAAACTGTTACTTGATGGCAGATATACATGACCGAACTTGGACTCATACACGAACCTGCCACAGTTCATTTATTATCCCGTATTACATTCTCCATGATTCTATTGAAACAAAAACATATTAATCGTTAGTCATTTCGGTGACCTAGAGTGATACCCGTCGAAAGGCATTAAAATGAAGTGAACTGCATCTATCTTCTATTGCACACTAATTTCTAATTATCATTGTTTTGTGTTCATGTTTTTATTCTAAGGAATTCTCAACTCATACACGCTGACTGACTAAACGTTTTTGCAAAGATTGTGAAGCGAAAAGTGTTAGAAACAATATCACTGATATTACCCATCAACTACTTTGTCTCATTAGAATGAGTTGCACTGAAGGCGTTGTCTAAAAGGACAATCAAAGCCTAGCAATTAAATCCACCAGTACTGATAACACAACCAAACCAGGAATGATTTCCTAGAAGAACAGAACTCTAATGAATTATCAGGAGAGAAGATTAAAACTTCGGATAGAACATTTGATGATCAGTCCAAGTGGCCGACAGAAACACTTCAGCTACTCACCATCCAAACCCTACCCAAACAAAATGTTGCAATTTATCTGCCAACTGAAGCTGTGGTGGTGGGCGCTGTCTATTAACCCATTAGGCAGCGAAACACAGGACCTGATGGGATGTGACGGATTATTGACTAGATTATTTTTTTTTGATCTACAGCTTGATTCCACACTGTATTTTTGGTACAAGTATGGAATTTTCAGCATGGATATCGGTAGCCCAAATTTTGCAGGCCGACCATAGATATCAGGTGTGCGTCGGCAGAGGCTCGAACCTCAGACCATGTGCATGGTCGGCGAGAGTCCTAACCACTGTGCCACCCTTGGGTTCCTAGTGGAACATAGGGCTTCAACTGCACGTCTCCACTTGCTTCTGTCTTCTGCTGTACTTTTCACCTGCATCCATGTTAGTCCATACTCTTTCAACTCCTCTTCACACGATCTCCTCCATATCACCCTTGGACGTCCCACACGCCGCTTCCCTTTCGGGTTCCACTCGAGGGCTTGATGCGCGATGTCACCCAGCGGTCTCCTTGGCGAGTGACCGATCCATCTCCACTTTCTCCTGCATATTTGTTGGGCGATTGGTTCTTGTTTTGTTTGTTCCCATAGTTCCTTGTTGGTGATTCTTTCCGGCCATCTGATCTTCAGTATAGAGCGAAGACAGTTGTTAATAAAGGTCTGCAACCTTTTGGAAATATTCTTTGTGACCCTCCAAGTTTCTGATCCGTATAGAAGAACTGACTGACTCGACGTTTGTATTGAAAATCCGAATTTTGTTGCTGACGCTGAGTGACGAAGATTTCCAGATTGATTTCAGGTTGATGAATGTGTTTCTCGCCTTCCCGATTCTCGATTTGACATCCTCGTCCGTTCCTCCTGTAGTTGAGACAATGCTCCCTATTAGTAGATTAGATTAACTCAGGGATATGGAATGCCGAAATATTCCTACTGGGCTGATGTAGGTTGCTGACTACTCCGATTTTAAAGAAACATGAGAGAAACTTCTCAGTGATAATCACAGTGAGGCCAGCTTGACGTCTACCTATTGTGTTGTCGAAATTCATAAAGGGAACTAATTGCTTTAAACCTGATAAAACCAGCGGAGCTCCATGACAAGTGTGGGTTCATGACTCCACTCTTCAGAAGGTTCTGGATCATAGGCATATATACCTACGCCCAACACTTGCCATATCTCATGACTTTAGAGAGGTGTTTGATTCCTTTGATTCACAGGAATTGTGGCAATGCCTACACAAGCTCACACAGTCATGTAAGAACTTATGACTAGTTTTCATTTTCATGTGTGCCTTAACGAAGTATTTTTGTGCTAAGTTTTAAGGTGACCATTCAGTTTAGTTAATCCATGGAATTTGCCAATCTCGCTCCAATTGCGATTCACCTGGTTACTAGTTTTAGAGAAACAACGTATGAACCTTGAGCACCGGTAATAAGAATGCGGCTCCTGATATTGTTCAGCCTCTTAATCAAATGAACTCCGAGTATGAGGCTCCAAGAGAAATAACAATTTTAACTTCGGCATTAAGATAGTGTCTAGGAAACTCATTTGTTATGAAGTGAAGACTTTAAAGTACCTATCTAATCTAACAACTAACGAGACTTATAATCATTCAGTTTGATATCATAGGAATTAAATGCTTGCACTGTGATCTTCAGTCCCTGATGCATAGAAAGTAGGCAGTTTTGCCTCCGACTCTAAAAAACCATAACATTGATGTGTGCTAACTGTAAGCGATTGGAATGCTACATTCCAGTAGATTATTTAGAATAATTTTTCATCATTCATTATAATGAGACTGTCTATTTAAGCGCAAATAGGTGAAGCAGCGTGTGAACTTTGATGTAGGTTGAAAGTTAACTTTCTTGACCAGTAGTGTCATAGCCTTGTTCGAACTCAGCTTCACTCAACAGGTTTTTCATGTACCAGGCTATAAAGCTACTATGTGACAGCTGATGATACCATCCATTTGAGCAGACTGAAGTGGGTGGGGCAGGATTCGAAACTGAAACCTGATTTTTAAACTCAGTTCTCATAACAGGCATTTCATGTTTCAGGCAATAAGTCACACTTTTTATCGTGTGAGGGTTGGTGATACTGCTCAGTTGCCCAGGCTGGGGTAGGTGGAATGGGATTTGAACCCGAGGCCCACTGAGTGGAAACTGGACGCCTAAGCTAGTGACCCAGGTCACCACCCGATAGTCCAAGACAATGAACCACATCAGCGGTTTTACTATATGTTTATTCAATATCTTTAGTATTAGCATCTGACTTCTATGGTGCGTGCATTAAGCGATAGATACCAAGAGACACTACTTAGTTCGACCTTCAATAATAATAATAACTGGTTTCAGATGACAGTCGTTATATGAAGTCAAATAAATGACACTAATAGATTACAAAATCGACATGTCCACAAAAAGACTTTTCTTTTGTTTAATGCATTATCTTAGCAATCTCTACACTAATAAAATATACCCAAAGTACGTTGAAATGTATTGTTCTCTTTTCATTTATCTTCTTTGTCTACACATTTTCTATTAGAAAAACTGTTTTATTCGATCCGCATCCTAAATTTCATTGTTGTTCAGAGCCGAAAACATCACTACAATTACATGTATACAGGAATACTGCTTGACAAGTGAATAGGCGGTTCGAGACATACTTTATAAACGTCACTTTTTCAAAACACAAGAACTTTTCTTATACACGTATTTATTAGATGGACTAGTTGTTTCCAAAGTATTGAAATTTGGTACAAATGATAGACTGAACAGGTTTTTTTCTCTTGAGAGAAATACAAATCACTCAAATATCTTCAGATTATATTTTCATCAGTCTCACATCATGCGCATCTAACCTACTGTTTACGTACTTTGAAACAATCCAATTTAATTTCCCCTCTGATATCTTGCAAATGAATCTTTTTACCTACCCTATAAATGATCTGGTACGGCCGACGGTGGGTAGACTTCGGTCTTTCTCTCGAAATCCTCTCATGTGGCCACGCGTTCATAGCCTCCCTCAGTTAGGTCAGGTAAGTCCTATTCACTGAATTCACCCGGTGGGGTCTTCCTCACAAAAGTGAAAGGGCGAATTCCAACGTCTGGTGCTTACAACCGGACTGGTTTGACATTCTGGCCTACTGTGGGCGGCTGGAAAACTCCCATTACAAACCTATGGTGTACATGCGCTCCAGAATCCAAAAGGATAGAATGGCGTATGAACCTGTTTTGATCACCGAAATCTATAGGAATCTAGAGCTGCTGAAGCTGCTTCACTACCTTGCCGATCAAACTTCATGTCAAAGGCTTGTGGAGTGGCTCCTTAAGACTATCTACATTGATTCGGGCCTCCGGGAAGCATCTCCACTCTCGCAGAGACTATGTGATTTTGTGTGGAACATCTCTTGATGACCATTATGTACCAGGTTAGTGTTTTCATAATAGTGAATTTCTTAGTTAAAATTTTCAAAAATGCTTTACACGACCAATAGATGTATCTAATACACAACTAAACATATTAACTCGAGTTTAGAATTAGACATTATCACACTTACCCGATAAGCATAAATGTACACAGCCTACTGGCAACATACATTGTTTGAATAATTCTACATTTCCGTGGGCATTACGTGGAACAATACCATTTTCAGCTACCGGTGGTACATATGGTTCAACTTGCCATGGACCAAAAACTTCAACCGTTGGTGGTGTAGAATCAGAACCCTGTAATAATTTACGTTTCATTGATAATCGAGCTTTAACAATTTTTGCTGGCTTTTCATGAACACGAACTACCTAAGAATGAAAAATTGAGAGAATGAACATGCTTTATTATAGTTCATTTTTGCAGGTAGCAGTTTAGTATACTTTACAATAAAATTTATCCATCCATGAGTAGTAGATTACTGATTTAAGCAGCCACAGATAAATGAGCCAGAATCTGAGATTTTGATTGCATACTGTCAGTGACAAGATGAAAACGTGGCTACATTAACATGACTAACTGGTTGCAGACTCCACCTATATTTCTCAGACTTCATCCTGAAAAGCCTGGTAGTATCACAAACACGGATTTATCAAACAGATGAACGTCTGTGACGTAGAAAACCCGTGCTAAATGTCTTTCATTGTGCTTATTATTATTATTTATCATTGGCTACCTCAAATTATGTGATATATCTACTACTACTACATGACCCTGTACTTGGATTCTGTTTTTAAAAGATATGATATGGGGCATAAAGCTGCTATTCACTACAGCTATATAGATTAAAACAAGCTATCCATTATGATTACCTGAATAACAATTATAAACTATAATACTAAAAGAGAAGAGGTTCCAGATATTGAGGAAAAAATAAACTACAAACAAACTAGGTTCGAACCCCGGTGTTTGCGTGCCATTGAAGAGTGCCGAACTTGAGAGAAACAGCTGTCCAGTACTCCAAGGTTTTCCACTGGTTCTCTGACCGATGTCAGCTCGTAATAAAATTCTGTAGTCAAATTCCTACAAACCACCACCTAAATATGTTGTAGCCCTAACTCTGGATAAAGAATATCTCGAAACGCACTAGTAACTCTTAATGAGGATGAATCGAGGATACTTTTCAAGTTGTGCTCTTTAGCGACAGCAAGGTATTTTCACTAAAGATGAAACACGCTCGATTATCTTGAGATATTTTTCGGTGCGACTTGAATACTGCTGCAAGCTAAAGGGAACCCTATAGTTATTCTGTTGTACGAGTATCCACCACTTCACTATTATTAATATTTTGTTTTCCTCTTTTGTTTGTTTCTCTTCACATATACCAAATGATGTCAGTTTTTTTCAGTAGTGTAAGGCAATTTTTTAAGGATGCACGAATCTACTCTTCGAATAATCAACAAACGGTCAATTTCAATAGTTCTCTCACAATTGAAATGACAGGGAATATCCATGACCCATGGTATAAACAGTAAATCTTTCCAAAATTGGATTGTTTAGGTCAGAACTTCTAAGGATGTTAAAATTTTCACTTCCATTGCAAGTCATACATAGATAACTAAAACGTCATTGAAGGCCCTGTGCCTTAACTAATTTCAACTTAATAATCTGTATGTTAGATTTCCATAGAAGAGAAACGATTAGAAATATGAACGTACCATCGCTTCTTTTAACCATGACTCTCTAGTATGACAGAGGTGAACACAATCACGGGAATAAACCGGTTCATTGTTAAAGAATCCCAAAGGAATTGCATCAGTCGGATAAATAACTTGAAATTTGAGTAAATGACGTTGGAGAACATATAGTGGGTGATTTTTAAAGTCTTGCATACGCTTTGGCAGAGGTTGGGATAAAAGTTTAGCGTTTATTGAATCTTTATCCATTCTATCTCGTCGAACAGTGGAGACTGTATCTGACCTCACTACTAATGCATCGTGTTCAACAGCATCATGGTCGAAAAATCGGCTTTGCATATTCAGCAAACTATTCCATTTCTCTGCAGATATACGATGACTGCGAGCAGAAACACACCAATCTTCAACATAACGTGGAGACAAATCAACAGGATTCCTACCGACGTAAGATACCAAATTGGGATCTGCTGACTTTACAGAGCAAGCACCAATAACATACAAAAAGCCATGTTTAAAATTTATTTTATCCACAACACCTGTAGGAAACGAAGGATCAATACACACCCAACGATCTAGCTTCGGTAGAAATACTTCAGCAAATAAAGAAATACCAGGCTTCAAGTTATCAGTACGTGAGTTACTATTCATATCGTCAAATATGTCATCTTCATCCGAAGAGATGATTTTGCGATTGGACTTCTTTTGTTTAATAGGTTTAACTTCTTTAGTTGCAGTAGTAGGATTATTGGTAGTGGCTTCATTGGGTAATAAAGGCAGTGGAGACAGACCAAGAATTACCCGTACATCGAGTCCAAGTAAACGAAGAGCTGCAACAAGAAGTATGATACAATCCCCTTCAGTTGCCCTAGACTCTGACAGACGATGAACAAGCTGATACTCATAACTACCAAGTGAGCTTCCTTCAATAAGTAGTGGCAGTCCCTGATGAGAAAAAAGTGTAACAACACAATCTTCTAAATGCTCCACTGACCACAAAGATAACTGAATGAATTTTTTCGTCTTTTGATTGTACACTGAATTAGTCTTAGCCAAAAGTGAAAGACCTAACGCCTGACATAAACAGCTGTCACAAGTCTGATTCACTACACGACTATGGGCAAGGAAACATAGTAAATGAACCAAATGCTTCAGTGCGTAGTGTTCTTTTATTTTGCGTCTTAACGCAAGTGCTTCAAGAAGTTTTGGATCTTGTTTAGAATGCTTTTTGGAAGCACTTGCAAGAGGAACAGCTATAGTTAGTGGTGTAGAATTTGTCTCTTCAAGTTCTTTAGAACCAGTATTTTTATTGCAACTTAGCAATTTATTCATGAACTCTACCTCGTTGGTCACTTCATCATTCACTTCAACCCAGTCGATTTCATCATCTGAATCATTTTCTAAGTTGCGATGAGGATCTTCAGGTACAGTAGCTTTATTCCGTGATTTTGTTGTTATTTTCTGTCTAGCTTTAGGTTTGAACTCCGAAAACAAGAGCAAGTTAGCTGTTTTCTTCTTTTTGGGCAACTTATCATCACTTACAAAATCAGATTCAAAATCATCCGAACTACCAAAGTTACTTTTCACTTCTAAATGGTTATCTGTCAACGGACTGTCACTATTTTCAGAAATGACATCCTCTGCAATGTGCGACCTACCCTTAAGAGGACTTGACTCTCTCGCTGTCGTTCTGCAATTGGATCGCCTACTATACTTTCGTGACTGTTTCTGTAGATGAGAAGGAGCTTGTTGACTAACACAGTCAGTTTGTACATCTAGACTCGGCCTATTTTGTTTCTTAGATGACTTAAAAGACGTTTTGCATCCAGTCACTTTTGGAACGTCACAAGCGAGACGGGAAATTCGAGCAGAACGCCTTGTACACCTTGAAGAGATGACGTTTCCTTGATTCATTTTTAATCACATGCCTCAGAAAACTGTTTGAAATAATGGAAAAAAGCCGGAAATAAGTTAAACAGATTTTTAGAAAGATAGCAGGCATGTAGAATAAGTAAACTGGCACTGACTACAACCCTATTGTTAGCAATTAACTGCTATAAATCATTGATTAGTTAACCAAATAAGGACCATATAAATAGACAAAATGAACGCAACAGTGAGATCTATAAATCACGAGCATTACTGTGTAATATACATTGGACTACACCGAATTTTCAATAACTGCAGATACTATTTGATTTTCGAAGTCTCATTAGGCAGTATTTTAACCATCAGCTGAACTACTTAAAAATTAACTTAGTACCACTCCGGATCCATCCGCACTTATGTATACTTGAAAACTGCACCATTCACCATGGGTTTTTTTCTGATGATACTTTTTCGAAGAAAATATGACTGTGTACAGACTTCAAGCGATTGTTACACAAAATACGACACAACGCAAAAACCTGATCCTTTTAAGCACTTTACTGATAAATAAACACAATGATAAGTTTTGTTATTGGTAATATTTCGAGCAAAATTACTGCCCGTGTTCAAACCACTGTTGGAATTGTTTTATTCCAACAGTGAACTATTGAAATATAATTATACTTTATTTGATCTAATCCATAATCCTCAGACTTTTTATTGACATTAATTACTGATAATTGTTAAACACATTTGCTCTTCTTTAATGTTGCCGACTAGTCGCGATAATCATGGTTTCCCTCAACACATCTACCCTCTTTATCAGCAGGTTCTAACAAAAACCCTATAATGCCTGCCAGTTCTGATCTATGAAGACAATACCTCGTTGGGATTAGCTTTCGTGCATCGATTGGTAGTGAAGAAACCGTAAAACTGACTGGTGAACTATAATCTTTTTCGATAGAGCTGCTAAACACTGGTTGTTAGAGATGCACGGCCGTGTATAATAAGCATCAGGACGACAATAAATTTAATCACTAGTTCGGCTGGCTTCCATCTGCTCTAGGACGCTTGTTTCAGTCGAAAAAGTCATAATCGAAAAGTAAACCAAGAATATATAAGTGTACACATATATAAAAATTCCTATTTTGAAACAAAGTAAAAAAAAATTAACAAAACCTTTTGATGCAGTCTTTACGGGTCTTAGTTAGGTATCCAACAAGATGCCTGACAATAAGATTCTCACGAAACGTAAGTCTCATTATTACTGATGGCCTACTAATTCGGATCAAAGAACACCATACATAAATGAACTTCTTAGTCTCAAAAGCTCCAGATAGTCGCAAGCAGCTTCGAAAACCTGGACAGGACTAGAGAAAGGTAACGCTAATACATTTCCAGCAGTTTCAAAGACTACTGAAATGAAAAAAATGGTTGATACCCATATAGGCAGGTGCAAACACGTGTACTACGTGTCCATATACGGTTATGAGGCGAGCGCCTTATTTCAGCCAATGAAATGGGAGTTGACCACGACTCAGCAATACGTTTGTGATTGATAAAATCAGACAAGGCTGCAGACTGAGAAGGTACAATTCGTGGGTGACATAAAAGTGCCTCATCAGAACATGTTTGACATACGTATCTAGTGCAACACGTAATAAACCCCTAATATATATGATATGATGGTCACCACACGACAAATGTGTGTAATTAATACTAAATGTATACAGCCTTTTGATACTTGTCGCCAAAATGGACCCAAAGTACTAAATAGAATGAAGCCAGCACTGACCTTGTCGCATTTTTAAAATACTGCCCTGGTGAATCTTCAAGGTAACCGCGCACTTCAAAAAATTGGGAAACAGAATAAATTTAATGTTTCCTGTCAAAATCATTAAAAAATACCTATTCAAGAAGTCAAACTTAAAGTCTTTATTCGAAATTCAAGGTTTGGCTGAGCTATAGTAGAGCAAACAAAGTAAACGACCAATTCCAATATCCAATATCCAACTGTATGACTTTGCGAACGCTGAAAAATATTGGTACCGAAGAATACAAATAAAGTGAGTGAAAAGTCACTCCTTTTTACCCGGAATTTCTTCCCGTCGATTAAAACTGTAGCTTTAATGTTCGTCATTAGGTGAGCTATTCATATTTATCATGGTCTATTTTTTCGGCCACAGTATTCGACTTCAGTCAACTGCCTTCTTTGGTCCTTGTGCGTCTTCCTATCTCTTCCAAACGTAATCAACAATATCTTGTGTATTTCTGTTAAACTACTATTTAGATGGCTTTCCTTTCTTCTTGAATATTTCATAGAGTTAATGTATACTGCCGTTCGAATTTCGTGTATTATTCGTTTTCTGGTAGTCACTGTTGTCATACTTTATTGGTTACGGTACAGCCAGTGACTTCTATCCCTGGTATCTCTTGAAATTCACCCTGAAATTCATAGTGTCTGTTTAGCTATGAAAACGATTTCCAGTCTCCGATGGGAATCTTCTACACAATACAACTTGTGGGAGGAAAGAACACTGAGTGAATCCGTAGTAAAGGAAGCTGGGTGTAGGCACTCTTAAACTATGTGCAACACGTGCTTGATACCCGAGCTGCTTGCTTCACATCTGGCTAGTTAGGCAGACGGGTATATTAGAGAGAAGACACCTAAATGAAAGAGGAGAGCTATGTATGCTCGCAAGGCTGATTAACAACTCACTGGTACTGTACTTTACGACCATGTTATGTTAGCGCTAAAATAACTGAGGCAAAGCACAGAGAAGAGATCCCGCAGTACAGAATTGCGGTCAAGAAGCACATCTAAACAAGTTGGATAAGCAAGATAATTCTACTGATATCAATACTGGTTCCGTACAATATCGGCCCTGGTCAGAACCGCCTGACACTGTAGTGAAAAAGACAGTTCAATAGGGGGGATACTTGAAAAGTTTTCTGTTTTACGGCTAAGATAAAAACCCGGCCGTGGAATGTTTTCCAGATTAATCAACTCCTGAGGACCTTGGATTACGGAGTGATACGCAATAGCACGGCTGTCCTAACAGTTTTACGTAACCTCCTTAGAGATTGGTAACGAAACGTTCGGAGACCTATCCTTGGTGACCACATGCTAGACTTTGTGTTTCCACCTCTCCCGATAACGAATTTTCCAGTAGCGACCACAGAATGGCACTACTCTCTGCTTTTATAACCACTAAATACAGGGAACAAAAAGATTCCTGGATCATGACATGCCATTGTTACAATCATACATACGGGGATTAATTTAAATAATTTACAATGAATCAATCTGACTCGGGGCTCAAATTATCTCAGGAAGTTCGTAACACCTACGGTCTGGGAACCTATAATACTAGGAACTGGTCCAAAACTCACTCGAAGCTGCCAAAGGGATGACTATTTCACCACTGACTCCCTGCAGACTGTATCGTCCTATTTTTTATAAGTGTTACCCTGTGCATCGGTGGCACAGTGATTAGGACTCTCGCCGACCATGTACATGGTCCGTAGTTCGATCCACTGCAGACGCACACCAGATATCTATGGTCGGCCCGCAAAATTTGGCTATCGATATCCACGCCGAAAATTCCATACTTGTGCCAAAAATACAGCGTGGGATCAAACTGTAATCAAAAATATTAAAAAAATTAATATAGATACTGTTGCCCCTAATTATCATTGTCGTTTATATCGGTTCCGAGTAGAACATAGAGCTTCAACAAAATATCTCCACTTTCTTCTACTTACCGCTATCCCCTTTAGTTGGGTCTGCGATCGCTCAAACTCTCTCGTCTGCCCCTCACACGATCTCCTTCATGTCACCTTAGGACGACCCACTCGTTGCTTCCCACTGGCATGCCACTCGAGGTCCTGGCGCGCTATGTCATCCGAATTTTTCCTCAGTGTATGATCCATACACCTCCAGTTTCTCCTACATATGCTTGTTCAGCGATCTGCTCTTGGTTGGTTTGTTCCACTGCAGAGATTCCTGTTACTGCTGCTTTCTTTCCATTTGATACTGAGTATGGAGCGAGGGCAGCTGTTGATGAAAGTCTTCAATCTGTTCAAAATCATTTTCGTTACACGCAATGCAAGTTTCTGACACGCATAGAAGAACCGACTTAACGTTGATATTGAAAATGCGAATCTTGTTCTTTATGCTGAGTGAGGAAGACTTCCAAACCTCTTTCTAGTGCAACACGTAATAAACCCCTAATATATATGATATGATGGTCACCACACAACAAATGTGTGTAATTAATACTAAATGTATACAGCCTTTTGATACTTGTCGCCAAAATGGACCCAAAGTACTAAATAGAATGAAGCCAGCACTGACCTTGTCGCATTTTTAAAATACTGCCCTGGTGAATCTTCAAGGTAACCGCGCACTTCAAAAAATTGGGAAACAGAATAAATTTAATGTTTCCTGTCAAAATCATTAAAAAATACCTATTCAAGAAGTCAAACTTAAAGTCTTTATTCGAAATTCAAGGTTTGGCTGAGCTATAGTAGAGCAAACAAAGTAAACGACCAATTCCAATATCCAATATCCAACTGTATGACTTTGCGAACGCTGAAAAATATTGGTACCGAAGAATACAAATAAAGTGAGTGAAAAGTCACTCCTTTTTACCCGGAATTTCTTCCCGTCGATTAAAACTGTAGCTTTAATGTTCGTCATTAGGTGAGCTATTCATATTTATCATGGTCTATTTTTTCGGCCACAGTATTCGACTTCAGTCAACTGCCTTCTTTGGTCCTTGTGCGTCTTCCTATCTCTTCCAAACGTAATCAACAATATCTTGTGTATTTCTGTTAAACTACTATTTAGATGGCTTTCCTTTCTTCTTGAATATTTCATAGAGTTAATGTATACTGCCGTTCGAATTTCGTGTATTATTCGTTTTCTGGTAGTCACTGTTGTCATACTTTATTGGTTACGGTACAGCCAGTGACTTCTATCCCTGGTATCTCTTGAAATTCACCCTGAAATTCATAGTGTCTGTTTAGCTATGAAAACGATTTCCAGTCTCCGATGGGAATCTTCTACACAATACAACTTGTGGGAGGAAAGAACACTGAGTGAATCCGTAGTAAAGGAAGCTGGGTGTAGGCACTCTTAAACTATGTGCAACACGTGCTTGATACCCGAGCTGCTTGCTTCACATCTGGCTAGTTAGGCAGACGGGTATATTAGAGAGAAGACACCTAAATGAAAGAGGAGAGCTATGTATGCTCGCAAGGCTGATTAACAACTCACTGGTACTGTACTTTACGACCATGTTATGTTAGCGCTAAAATAACTGAGGCAAAGCACAGAGAAGAGATCCCGCAGTACAGAATTGCGGTCAAGAAGCACATCTAAACAAGTTGGATAAGCAAGATAATTCTACTGATATCAATACTGGTTCCGTACAATATCGGCCCTGGTCAGAACCGCCTGACACTGTAGTGAAAAAGACAGTTCAATAGGGGGGATACTTGAAAAGTTTTCTGTTTTACGGCTAAGATAAAAACCCGGCCGTGGAATGTTTTCCAGATTAATCAACTCCTGAGGACCTTGGATTACGGAGTGATACGCAATAGCACGGCTGTCCTAACAGTTTTACGTAACCTCCTTAGAGATTGGTAACGAAACGTTCGGAGACCTATCCTTGGTGACCACATGCTAGACTTTGTGTTTCCACCTCTCCCGATAACGAATTTTCCAGTAGCGACCACAGAATGGCACTACTCTCTGCTTTTATAACCACTAAATACAGGGAACAAAAAGATTCCTGGATCATGACATGCCATTGTTACAATCATACATACGGGGATTAATTTAAATAATTTACAATGAATCAATCTGACTCGGGGCTCAAATTATCTCAGGAAGTTCGTAACACCTACGGTCTGGGAACCTATAATACTAGGAACTGGTCCAAAACTCACTCGAAGCTGCCAAAGGGATGACTATTTCACCACTGACTCCCTGCAGACTGTATCGTCCTATTTTTTATAAGTGTTACCCTGTGCATCGGTGGCACAGTGATTAGGACTCTCGCCGACCATGTACATGGTCCGTAGTTCGATCCACTGCAGACGCACACCAGATATCTATGGTCGGCCCGCAAAATTTGGCTATCGATATCCACGCCGAAAATTCCATACTTGTGCCAAAAATACAGCGTGGGATCAAACTGTAATCAAAAATATTAAAAAAATTAATGTAGATACTGTTGCCCCTAATTATCATTGTCGTTTATATCGGTTCCGAGTAGAACATAGAGCTTCAACAAAATATCTCCACTTTCTTCTACTTACCGCTATCCCCTTTAGTTGGGTCTGCGATCGCTCAAACTCTCTCGTCTGCCCCTCACACGATCTCCTTCATGTCACCTTAGGACGACCCACTCGTTGCTTCCCACTGGCATGCCACTCGAGGTCCTGGCGCGCTATGTCATCCGAATTTTTCCTCAGTGTATGATCCATACACCTCCAGTTTCTCCTACATATGCTTGTTCAGCGATCTGCTCTTGGTTGGTTTGTTCCACTGCAGAGATTCCTGTTACTGCTGCTTTCTTTCCATTTGATACTGAGTATGGAGCGAGGGCAGCTGTTGATGAAAGTCTTCAATCTGTTCAAAATCATTTTCGTTACACGCAATGCAAGTTTCTGACACGCATAGAAGAACCGACTTAACGTTGATATTGAAAATGCGAATCTTGTTCTTTATGCTGAGTGAGGAAGACTTCCAAACCTCTTTCTAGTGCAACACGTAATAAACCCCTAATATATATGATATGATGGTCACCACACAACAAATG